CTTTTTCCTGGTAAACTTTACACATTGCTTTCGTGTTGTCATCTTCCAAAATATCAAAATATGTCCAAACTGCGCTTTTTACAGCGTGCGCCATTAGGTTCTGGGCAAAATAATTCCGAGCAATTTTCCCCAACGCATTTTGTTACAAGTATCAGGACTCGTTTAAGCCAATCAGAAAACAGAATATGGTATGACTCAACGCATAGGTGTTTTAACTGTTTTTAATGACTTCCTCAAAGCCACTCACGTGAGACAAAGACGCGGGTTTTGAGACAAAAGAAGCGGGTTTTGAGACAAAAGACGCAGGTTTTGCAACAAAATGTGAAAATATATTCGCTTGTATTCAGCATTTTAGGCATGCGCTTGGCAGCTGCAGAAAAAGTCTTATGGCCGATTATTTGCCGATTATCAGGCAATAATCGGCCGATTATCGATTATTTAAAAAATGGCCGATTAATCCGCTTTGCCGATTATCCCCGAGCCGACGGCGCGAAGCGCCGTGCGAGGGTACTAATTCCCCCCGGCTATTTACACCCGGGGAAACGAAAGCATTAGCGAAGTCTAAAGTTCATCAAATATCGCGGGCGTGGGTCACTGTGCGTGGGTGGTCATCCTCACTGATCTCAAAAATATGGCGGGCTGTCATGAATAAAGTGCAAACCCTTCCAGATGGTGGAAAGAGGTTAAATCCATAGGGGGCCTCTCTTCTCGGGAATCTTGGGTACATCAACTACTTTCTGAAGTAAACCCCACCTGTGAGGACCTTGCTGAGTCATATAACGGATATCTTGTTGGACTTACTTCGCATTTTAAACCCTTGTTAGAATGTACCGATGACCAGGAGACAGAAGTTCCCAACCATCTACTCGTAAATATAGGGCAAGTTTATTCAGTGTTGCGACGTCTTAAAACGACGAAGTCTCCTGGCCCAGACGGTATCCCAAATAGGATCCTGAAAACCTTCGCTTTTGAATTTGCCCCTATCATAATGGACATATACAATACATCAGTGCTCCAGGCAGTAGCGTAGCCAGCCCGACGATTTAGTCCCGCTATGCAAATATTTTCGTGTTCATTCACTGTGAAAACAATCAATTTTTAAAGAAATTAATAATGATAATAATTTTGAATTTGCATAGCAGGACTAAACTGTCGGGCTGGCTACGCCACTGGCTCCAGCGAGTCTTCCCTGATCAGCTAAAACGTTCTATCGTCGTTCCCATTCCAAAAGTGTCACCACCTCAGACTATTGAGGACGATTTAAGACCTATATCACTCACAGCTCAGGTATCTAAAGTGATGGAAGGATTTATGCTACAGTCCCTCATGTCGGAAGTGGGTCTTAAATTGGACCCAAAGCAATTTGCTCTTCCGGGAAAGTCAACCACTCAGGCACTCGTTTATCTCCTCCACTTGATTCATGCTGCTTTAGATCAAGGCCACTGCTCTGTAAGAATCTTTTTTGCTGATTTCAAAAAAGGTTTTGATCTCGTCGACCATAATGTCATTAGTGATGAACTTTTAAAATTACAAGTGAGTCCTGCCATTATAAGATGGATAAAGTCGTTCCTTACCTCCCGCGAACAGTGTGTTAAAATCGGACCATCCTTTTCCTCATGGAAACCCGTTAACGGTGGCCTACCTCAAGGAACTAAACTTGGCCCTCTTCTCTTTGCCATTTTGGTCAATTCCCTCCTACAGGACTGGAATGGGCGGATAAAGTTTGTAGACGATGCTACTGCACTAGAAATTGTTCCACGTTGCTCTCCTAGCTTGCTACCTATTCTCGTAAATGATGAATCTCAGTATGCCTCAAGTAGAGGAATGAAGCTTAACAGTAAGAAATGTAAGGAGATGACAATATCCTTCCTCCAATACCACCTTCTACTTGATAATGCGATCTATATAGATGGTTCGCCAGTGCAATCAGTATCCTCCTTTAAACTGCTCGGTGTGCTACTGAGAGAGGATCTATCTTGGTGTGATCATGTCGACTATGTGATTAAAAAAGCAAATTCCAGACTCTATGCATTGCGGAAGTTAAAAAAGGCTGGGTTAAGCGATAAAGACCTTGTCACTATATATTCCTCCTTCATTCGGTCCCGAATTGAGTACGCTTCACCTGCGTGGTCAACGCTAACCCAAGGCCAGTCTGACCTTATCGAATCGATACAGAGAAGAGCATTACGTATCTTGCTTCCCGAAATGTCGTATCAAGACGCATTGAATTATACTGGTCTAAAAAGGTTAAGTACGCGTAGACATAATTCCTGTGAACAATTTATTCGGAAATTGAAGCTTGACAATGGTCCTATAAATCCTCTTAAGGATGTTGTTGCAACTCGTATACATCCAAATACTCATAATTATAATCTTAGGTCCGAATCAAGCTGGTCACTCCAAATGAACACAGAACGGTTTCAAAATTTTATAACTGTCAAATATAATTATTAATGTATTATTGATTTAGTAGTACTCGTGTATATTAATTCAGGGACCCAATTATAATTTGTGGACAGATTTAAACTGACTATTCAGAACGAACATTGAACGGTTTGAACTCAATTTTATTTGTAAATTTAATTTTTAATGTATTTACTTATAATCATGTAATTCAGTAGAGACTGCAATGTGATTAATTAAACAGATTATTATTATTATTATTAATAAGCGAACACTGTGATTGGTCCAATTTAAAGTTTGCATTATAACGACTGCATGACGACAGCGAAATAGCAAACATTTCTTGATTTGATGATTGATAAATTTCTTGCAAATATATTTCATTGTTGCTCGCATTTTTGCAAGATTTTGTAAATTTCAAGAAAGAAAGGGCAAAAGAATCAGTTAAAAGAAGAGAGCCGACGTTAACGAAGCTAAGTTTGTTTTAAATATTGATTTTATACTGAATTGCTTTTAAACCCGACGGCCTTTGCGTATATGAAACAACTAAACAAGACAGCATATAATTTCATTGTATCTTTAATATTGATTCCCTTTTTTATTATATTGATTTTTTAAATAAATAAATAAAAAAGAAAGCAAAGTTATTTGCATGCGAGAATTTGAAATAATTTTATTGCAAACTCAAAGTTTATCGATAAAGCCATTCAATTAAAGGCAGTTTTATTTAAAGTGCCCCTGACACAAAAATTGATTTTTTGTCTAATGAAAGTACACATTAGGTGGAGTGTCTTGGTGAAAGAATTTTTTGATTTCGTTAAAAAGCAAAAATTGTACAGCGGTTTGAACACGCCAAAATTGGGCTTTTCGATGGCACGCGTCCGTGGTCAAAATAAACTGTTAAGGAACTGGAACGAGCATCATTTGTTACGTCACGCAAGTGAGTGTGTTGGCGCCACGCTATTGATATTATATTATTCTTATACAATGTTGGCGCGTTAGTATGCAAATTTTTTCATCGCGATATTCATAGTAAAAGATATGCCTTTTTATTGTGTTGCTGCTAACTGTACCAACAAAGCAAGCTTAAAAGATGGAATAAGTTTACATACTATTCCATTCTTCAACGACAAACGCGCTGAAGCTAAGAGAAGGAGAAAATTGTGGGTTGACTTTGTATCATCGAAGCGTTTGTTTGTGCCTTCGAAGACTTCGACTATATGCTCCGACCATTTCACGCCAGAGGATTACGAGAGGCGATTTTTTTCGTTGCCGGGACTCAGCAAGCCAAATTATCAGAAGCTAAAGACTGACGAACTGGGAGTTTGCGTTTATCCTACCATCCATGCTTCGTCATCGAAGGAAGTTGCGGTCAACCAGAATCAAAGTACGAGAAGCAAGCGCTTGGTATGTACTATTTGTTGTTTCGTTTCAAATTTTAACATTAGTTGGTTATTATTTGTCAGCTATCAAATCACTTACGGTTTCGTCTACTCTTTTTCCATCCACAAGGTTATAAGGAATTTAATTGACAAAGAAGCAGATGATAGCTCCCTAAACATAGTGTCACAGCCTTCTGCCAAGAAATCTACCAGAACACCGAGGAGGACGAACTATCAACCGACTTTGAGTGCAGAGCCAGAGGAGATCTTGATACCGGTCAATGAAAGTTGCTGTGATGAGATAGTAAGTAAAAAATTGCGTCTCTGCAAGTCGATTCAATATTATAAGACATGTGAGAATATGTATATACATTCCCAACAATTTATATAGATATTTTTGATTGCTTAGGAACAGCTTAGCGTGGTTAGCCATTCAGATTCAGATACAAATGCCAAGCAAATGGACGAATGCTCGAAAAAAGACGAGAACAAAAATTTGCGAAAGATCAAAGAAGACGATGTATTGCTTGAGACAAACAGAAGATTAAAAAATAAAGTCCTTTCTCTTCAAGCAAGCCAGAAAATGAGGAAAAGAGAACTGAGAAATATGAAACGTAGAGGTGTGTGCACTGTCAATAAGCCTAATTTTTAAAATCAAAAATGGAAATAATGCATGGAAAAGTAAATTTGTATAATTATTGTGTATATGTGCCAGCAGCATATCAGTCAAACGTCATGCAACATTAGCTTTTTATGCATGTCCAAGACTCACAGAATTGAAAATGAAACATTTGCTCATGGGTGGGGCATTTTTCTGTTTGTGTCATACCTGCCCTTGGTCTTTAGCAACAGAATTGAAAAAACGTAAAACCCATCTGGATTTACGTAAGAGGGCATGCTTTCATTTGACTGATATATACTGTACTTAGCTTGCTTTCTTTTTCTATATTGATATTCCTCTATAGTAAGCTATCTTGAAGAACTGCTTCAAGAAGACAAGAATAAGGAGAGGGGAGAAATTATGTATCTGGATTCTGACGACAATATGAAAAGTGATGATGAAGAAGAAAGTGAAATGGACCAACCCTATGTGATGGAAACTGATGATATATCTGCTTCAGAAGATGAAGATGATCTGGAAGATGAACCAGAAGCTCAGTAAGTTTCTTTAACATACCGGTACGGTACAGTAAACTTCTACAAATACCAGAGAACGGTCAATGGTGTAGACACAAACTAGTAACAAGACAAGAATTGTCTTCCCAGATTAAAATTTCCTCCCCCAAAGTCTGGGCAGGTACAGTTTTCCCCACCTAAGAAAGTGTTTTTACTTCACAGACTACCAACAATAGATGGAAATATCCGAACAGAACCAAAATTCATTGTATTCTGGACACAACTCCTTCCGCTGTTCCAGTTCTGCCATTCCTGCAAGTCTGACAACCCTTTTATTGAGACACGTCGAGTCGGTACAAAAGTTGTTGTAACCACAAGATGCAGTAACCCAACATGCAAGCAGAATGTTTCTACTTGGCACAGTCAACCAAACATGCCAAATCTAGGGATTTCTGCTAGAAACTTTCTACTATCTATGGCAATTCTGCTGGCTGGTGGATCAATCACCAAAGTTCAGCAAGTTTTTCAACACATGGGTCTTTCATGCATTTGTTTACGTACATACTTTCGCTACCAGAAAGTAAGTAAAAGTCTTTCCTGGACATATTTAATTTGCATGTACATGTATGTTGCATGTGTGTTCGTATCAACCCATTAGCTTTTCCCTTGATGAGTGAATTGTTTGGCAAAATATATCCTACAATAACACACATTGTGGTATAATAGGTGAACAAGGGGCTTGGGCAGACAGAGTAGCCATCCCCAACACAATTTTCTTGATAAGTAAAGTTGTTTGAGGTTGGACAGAATTTATCAAAGTAATGGTGCATTGGGGAATTAATTTGATAATTTTTTTATAGAAATTGTTGTTTCCATCTATTTATCTACATTGGAAAAAATACCACAACACATTGCTACAAAAAGCTAAGGATGTAAAAGATGGTGTTGTAGTTTCAGAGATGGTCGCCATGATAGCATGGGCCATTCAGCAAAATTCTGTGCCTACACAATATTCTGTTGCACTTTTGCACAAATAATACACTTTGACCTTGTGCAGGTTAGTAATCGGTCATTCAACTTTGCATGTCTTGGTACATTTTACTACAATCAGAAATAGATTTAACTCTCCTAGCTCACCAGGCAACACAGTTTTTCTTTGTGTGGGAGGTATATGAATCTTTTCAGAATACAAAAACACTTTTCAATATTTCGAGCAAAAGCCCTTTATCAGGAGATGTGGTAGAAACTAAAACCATGATGATGTGGACATCCTGATTAAATACCTTATAATAATAATTTACTGAATTGCATGCACTTAAAATTGCAGAGAAATCAAGCAGGAAGTAGTCCAGCCATGGAGTTTATGTGTTTTAAGCTGTGCATGGACCACCTTATTGCATATGGAATTTGCATAACAACATTTATATCTGACCGACATACCTCAATTGCCAAATATATGAGAACACAAATGAAGGACATCATCCATTACTTTGATATTTGGCATTTGAAGAAAAGTAAGTACCCAATATATGTTATCTATCATGTTTCCCAGAAAAGAATGTAGAGCAGTTCTATATCAGGCTACTTCAGAGCAGTTCTATGTTTATGTATAATCAGAAAATTAAAGTACTTCATATAGTATTTTTGAATCCCTACACAGGCAGCACAGTTTGTGGTCAGGTTTGAGGACAAGCATACATGAAGTACTTATTTCAGTCACTTACAGTTCAATCTCAATCTGACTATTGCCATAATTTGTCTAAACACTGGCTAAATATTTTAATTTTAGAAATTCGAAAGGTCTTGTCAAAAATAGCTAAGGATAAGAATTTTGAAGCACTGAATGAGTGGATAAAACCTTGTGCAAATCATTTACACTGGAGTGCAACATCCACTTACGATGGCAATGGACTTGTGATATGGGCGAAATTCAAGTCTTTCCTGAGGCATATGGTTAACAAGCATTCTGATCACAGTGATCCATTGTTTAATCAATGTGCTCATGGAGTCGATATTGAACATAGGAGGTGGTTAACAGAAGGTGAGTACAAAAACCCGGAACATTGTAGTCATCAATGGGAAATGGTTTGACCTGACTATTATCTGTCCTTGCATGTAAGCTCAATACATCTTGATTGCACCATCAGCAAATTGATGTTGCATTTGAATTCTAATTATATGTTAATTCAGGGATAGTGCAACCCAGATATAAGCTACAGTTTGCAACAACAAAATGTGATAATTTGTGATTTTTCTGCCTTTACCAATTTGTGTGGAGTTTTAATGTAAATTCATAGTGTTGGACTGCCAATTATTCCAAGCAGGTAACCATTCCTTTTAATTTTTTCAGGTTCACCATTGCATGAAAAAGTTTCCACTGCACTAACAAACTCAAGACTTGTGAAGGGGATTCAGCAAGCATCACCACTAGATCAGACCAGCTGCTTAGAAGATTTTCACAGTGTCCTGAACCGTTTTTCTCCCAAGATGATAGCATATAGCTATGTTGGACAATATTGTAGGTTAGTTATAGAGCTTATCTTGACGAATATTACTGTATAGTCAGTTCATCAGGGAGGAAAATAAATGGTCTCCCCTCCATTCACTTTAGATATTCTGTACCTTGACACTAGGTACTTTCTGTACCTCTCTGTCTTTTGCCGAACTTATCATAGGAGATTCAACATTTTGGAGAAATATGGTGTAGTAATTGGAAGTTTTAATTTTTAGGCACATTTTAGCTATCATGCATTTTAATTTCAATCTCCGACGGGAATTGGACACAAGAAAGGCAGATAACCAGGAGAAAATAAAAATTACGTATCCAAAGTTTAAAAATGGGGAGGCAACAGTGAGGAATGTGAGGATAACACCAAACTTTGGTAAGTTCATATGCATAATTTTCCATAAAGGCTTGAAGTAATAATTAAAGGCTAATTTGCCATGTGTTTGTCATAGCCCCCTTGGTTGTGATTTCAAAAATGGTTTTGGAAAGGAGAATATTTGAGATATGAGAGGCAATTAGTATAGTGGGGTTATTAGATACACTGTAGTAGGTTACGAGTTATTTCTAATAATTTTAATTGTCATAAACCATTTATAGGATATGTTCACGATATTTTTGATACGTTCCTGAAAGCTACAAAGAAGGATTTGGAAGATGCTGCTAAAGAACTAAAGAAAAAATCTCCAGAACCCATGAATTTGATGCTTCAAAAACAACCAGCAGCTCAAGCAGTGGCCAAACACAAGGAGAGGAAAAACATGATAACACAGGATGTGCTTCCCACAACTCCAGGTATTAAATATTACTAGTAAGGTTATACATGTAGGTGTAAATATACAGCATTATTCAGGAAGTTGTTTATTTGGATACTGTAGTGGGTTATTTGTGTTTACTGATGTTAATATAACTTTGACTCAAGTTTGTTAGTGCACATGCAAAACTACTACATGTACACTTCAACTCTTCTAAAAATGTGTAAGAAACTAAAAATAATAGCATTCTGCAACTGGAGGTTTAGATAGAAACAATCTTCAGGAATACAGGATGTACAGTATATATACATTTACCAGTATTAGTACTGTAATGAGAAAAATGACTGCATTTTAGTTTACTTTCCCTTATTCTTTATTTTAGTTTCAGAAGTTCAAAAACAACAAGCTACTGCAGAGAGATCAAAAAATTCTGAAAAGGCAAAACCCCACTGCAAGGCATGCAATCATCCCATGAAGGGACACAAATATGTCAAAGACTGCCCTAGAAACAGTGGACAGTGATTGTACATACTTTTTGTAAATATTTTTCTTCAATTATGTTAAATTACATTGAAACACATAGGGATGTGCTCCCTCCAATTCTCTTGCCCAGTGAGTTCTTTTTCGCTCCACTTTAGTGTAACTTGTCCTAAGCTTAGCTTTGATAGGAGCGAGCAAACTAGAAACCTGTTAACTCTGACGGCAGAAATTGAATTAACATCTTGTAAGTTAGACATGTAATCAATTTACTTTCGACAGACTCAACAGTTTCGGCCGGTAGTATTTTTCCTGCAAGTCTGCTACATTTGACAAGTCCCTCTTTGCGTCCTGTCCTAACAGTTCATCTCAATACTCACTACACTTACACATAAAGGGGGCCTAATGGAACAAGTCTAGTTTTTTTTTGCTATGAAGAGAACTGACTGTGTATTGACAAAGTGAGAAATTTCCTATTATGGTAATAATTTTCGTCAATGGGAACAACTATAAGGAGATTCAAAATTTTTAGTGGAAAAAAGTTTGCCTTGCTATCAATTAGATCCTGCTCTTGTTGGCAGCTTCATATTAGCCCAACATTGGAAAGCCTAGCTCCAATAGGAATACAAAATGATCTTAAAACTATAAAAAAGGTTACGTGCCAGATCAGAACACCTGTCCAGCACAGCTCATATGAATAGCACCCTATTTACATATAACACACACACACCAATGGTAAGGTTTGTTTTTAAATTCACAGCTAATTGAAATAGCACATCAGCTATTTACATGTTATTCCTGGACCTAGGTAGGTGGAGATACATTACAACAAGGCTCATTGATATGACCTACTGTGATCTAAATAGTGTTTAAAATTCAAAATTTTAAAATGTGCCTGCAACAAAATCAAAAGTGCCTGCGAGCAGCTTAATGATGCATGATAACCTGGCAGTGTTCATCAATTAATGTCAACAAATCCTGTCAAATCTTCCTTTTCAACAGGAAATGTCTTCCTTATCATTGTGTATGCACAACATGGTAACGGTATCCTTTTGTTTCCAAGTAAGCCATATACGAGTCTGGTAAATTCTCTGTATGAAATACTCCGCAAGAATCTGAAAACCACAATTATATAGTTATTTCATACAATAGAATATAGGCAAGGTTTGGAAACTCGATGGAATACAATACAACTCATTATCTCTGTTTTTGTCTTGGTTTATCCAAAAATTGGTCACTTTGTCATCATGTGTGTGTTGTATTTTCTCCCAAAGTAACCATAGCAATGCTTCACATCAACCTTTGTGTAACAAGACAAATGGGTAGTTCATCCAAAGCATTGCTATTGGTTTGTTAGGCGAAAATACAACACACGTGATGGTGAGGCAATCAATAATGAGTTGTATTGTATTCCATAGAGTTTCCAAATCTTGTTTATGTTCTATTTACTATGATTATTTATACAACATTTATTCCCATAATACTAGCATATTTGCTATCACTTGGCAAAGACTTGTAGTAATATTTGAGCATAAATTTATATTATTTTCAAACTTTGCACATTTGTCATTTGTTGCCTGCAATTTTGAAAGTTCACATTGGCAGGTTTCCCTAGAAGAATATCACAGGTTTTGTTCACAAACATGGTAAGTTTCCAATGGATTTGCGATCCTACATGTAAACTTTAGATTCATTTCAGATACCATGTGGCAGCTTTAATATTCATAACTTTATATACATATACTGCACTTTAAAACATACTAACCTGTTTTCTGAATCCATCTGATGATATTTAGCTTTACTCTTGGTTCTATACTTGTCCGCTGCCATTCGTAAACTCCATTTTTGCAAGCAAATTGGATCAAAACCGGGATGTTTGGTGATGCATTCCAGGTGTGCGTCTTGGCCCACATCATTGAGCACTTGCTCACTGATAAGTGCTTGCCCACATTCCTCGATTTCGCAGCAGCATAAACATTCATTGGGATTACTGAGGTCGCTTCTTCTTACACCTATGTTGGGAGAAAAATATTAGGTTAAAACGACTAAATATCGTTAAATTAGCATGGCATACATAAACATCGATATATTTGTGTCTTTGCTTATATTGTCTGACACATGCAGGGCATAAAATCACAACAAATCACAACAGCTTCTGACCAATTATTTTATACTTTTCTTACCATTCGCTAATTTCCACGGAGCCGTCAAACCTTTTACACAATTTCTCTTCAAATTCTATGCGTTCGTTCTCTGCCGTTTGGTAGCTTTTTATCCATTCCTCATCAGCTAAAGGCTCTTCGGAATATGCCAAACCGGGCACACTTTCGTTGTCGTCGTCTTCAAGCTTGGAATAACGCTTCGAACTGTTCAGAAATTGTTCGGCATCTTCCAACACAACATATCCGGGTATGAAATTTACATCAGAATCATCGGACTGATAACTACTATCCGAGTCGGATTCTGTTCTAGACATGATTTATAATATACTAAGATACAGTAAAAATGATAAAAATCCTTCTTGTTTGTGTGTAGCGCGAGTAACTTGCGTGATGTCACAATAAATGCTATCCCCAGACTCCTGTAGCCGACGTCCACGTGCCAAAAATTTTTGTGTTAAAACCGCTCTAAAATTTTTGCTTTTTAATGAAATCAAAAAATTCTTTCGCCAAAACACTCCACATAATGTGTACTTTCAATAGACAAAAAATCAATTTTTGTGTCAGGGGCACTTTAAGTGACGAAAGCAGCAAAGAGGACATTGATTCAGAAAAGCAGACAATTCTAATACATTGGAAACCTCCGCTGGAGCAGGTGAAATTTATCGTTTTCGAAGAAGCGATTCTGGATATTTTTGGAAAGTGTGTCCAGTGTAGTGCAAAATGTATTGTGACAATGGATAATCAAATTGGCTCCTCATGCAGAATTTGCAACTTGTGTACAACTGTTGAAAATTGGTTAGTAAATCATTAGTGGAAATACAGTAACTTTAAGAGATCAAAGGATCTTAATTTTAGTTTTCTATATATGGTAATGTTTGAACAATCTGACCTATCAGAAGAAAGCGGAAGTAAATTTGTCATTGAGTTGTTGTTTGAAAGGAAAAAAGTTGGGATAGAATAAGGTAAATAAAGCGTTTTAAAACATAATTTCTTGTATAGAGTTTACTTATTTTTGGTGTTGGATGCGAGGCCTGCATGTCTTCTGCATCTGGGAGACAAAATGATGTAATGAACTCTCTCCGATTCATAGAAGAGGTCTCAAGCACATCTGACCTAGCTAATATAGTTAATGATGCTTTTATTCTTCCGATGAAGATTTTCTCACCTCTTCCACACGATTTTCAACTCAAACAAGATATCCCTTCATCTGCACCATTTGTTTTATCCGTTCACTCTGTTTTTATGAAGTTGTCGTTGCTGAATCCAACAAAAGCTCAAGGTCCAGATGGCCTCCCCGCTTGGCTACTGAAGGGGAATGCAGACCGTCTTGCAGAACCCATAGCAGAAATTATAAACAGCTCCTTTCACGAAAGTAGATTACCACCATCATGGAAAGAAGCGGATATAGTTCCAGTACCGAAACAAAGAAGAGTAAAAGACGTCAGCAAACACTTAAGGCCAATTTCCCTCATGCCAATACTTTCTAAAGTTGCTGAAGAGTTCATCATACAAGAATATGTCAAACCAGCGGTTTTAATAAAGATTAAAAGTAACATAAAAAATTTGGCTCAATTCCAAAATCATCGACAACCCAAGCTTTGATCAGCATGATACACACATGGAGCAAGTATATGGATGAAACTGGCTCTATAGTCAGAGTGGTTGTTTTCGATTTCAGGAAAGCTTTCAACCTGACAATACATTGGTTCGAAAAATAAAGACCTAAATATACCCCATAATATCGTCAGTTGGATCGTTGATTTCCTGAAATGCCATAAGGATAAATACAAAGGATAAAATTGTCACAGGACTGTAAATCGGAATGGCAAAACGGGCCGGCAGGAGTTCCCTAAGGAACAAAGTTGTTATAATAGTCATTAGGACGTTATAATGTTAATTAGTTAGGTACCTATATAATGGCATGTATAATTTGTTGACGAGTCAGTTGTAATACATGTGTTGATCAAGCTAAGTTTATGCTGTTATAACATGGTGGCAGCGTAACTATAAGAATAACAGTATGGAGCATGAAGTTGGACAAGCCGTCGGACAGCCTGCAGTTTATTTGAGTCACAATATTTCTCCTCCACAACCTTTAGACCTAAGAAATAGCGGCGAAGCGGCCGAGAATTTTAAGTTATGGAAAGAAAAATACAACAATTACTTCATAATCTCGCGTCTAATGAGAGTTCTGCGTTTCAGTTGGCAATGTTCAAGTACTCAGTTGGAGATGAAGGCCTAAAAGTTATCAAAACATTTGGATACAACGAACACAAAAATTCAAGCGACTGGAAAGTGGTAATGGCAAAACTTGAAGCCCATTGTATTGGAGAAGTTAACAAGACATTTGAGCGATATGTGTTTAACAAGCGAGATAAACTACAAGGCGAATCAATCGATAGCTATGTTGCTGAGCTGAAGACATTGGCGAAGACATGCAACTTTTGCGTCTGTTTACGAGATAGCCTCATACGGGATCATATAGTTCTCGGAAATAAAAAATGAACAAACAATGAAAAAGCTGCTTAGAATGCGAGATTTGACTCTGAGTAAATGCATTGATACGTGTCGAAGTGAAGAGATTACTGAAATGCAAATGAAGTCAATGAGTGAAACATCTAATGACTATGCTAATAAGATCAAGACACAAAGAAGGCGGCAGTACAAAGAATCAGAATCGGACGGTTCAGAGGACGATGAAAGGAAAACGAAATCAGTCGAGAAAAAAATATCGTGTAAATTTTGCGGCTTTGAGCACTGGCCAGATAAGAGAAAGTGTCCAGCCTGGGGAAAAACCTGCAACAAGTGCAAAAGAAAGAATCATTTTGCCAAGAGATGTCGAAAGTCTGCCATATACTGCATAGAAAGCGAGGAGGAACAAATTAGCGACGTGAGAATTCAAGCTATGAACGAGAAAGCGGTATTTGCGAAGATGTTGGTCAACGACGTTCATGTACATTTCCAAGTCGACTGTGGCGCCAGCGCAAACATACTTCCATACAAGTATGTAGAAAAGGAAAAGATTTCTCCATGTGATAGAACACTAGTCATGTGGAACGGTACTAAAGTGAAACCTTTGGGAACGTGCGTTGTTCGAGTGGTTAATTTAAGAAATCAGAAGAAGTATGACGTGAAGTTCTTGATCGTCAAGGATGACCTGACTCCGTTGTTAGGTTTGAAGACCAGAGGAGATGAGGCTGTTGACAATTCACAAAGAGAACTTCATTAGCACTGTGTTTTGTAAGAAAACGGATGTGCTAGACAAGCATGCTGAAGTTTTCAACAATGATTTGGGAAGATTGCCAGGAATAGTCCATCTAGAAGTAGACCCAAATCATAAACCAGTCGTACTACCGGCACGGAAAATCCCTGTGTCAGTGAGAGACCAATTCAAAGTCGAGTTACAACGATTAGAGAGACTGGGAGTCATCACACCTGTCGAAGAACCGACCGAGTGGGTGAGTCAAATTGTCGTGGCAATGAAGAAATCTGGTGCATTGTGCGTATGCATAGATCCAAAGCCACTGAACGAGGCCCTGAAGAGAGAGCGATATCAAATTCCTGTCATAGATGATTTACTACCTGATTTGTCAAAGGCTCGTGTATTTTCCAAGGTTGACCTGGCATCTGCATTTTGGCATCTAGAATTAGACTAAGAGTCAAGCAAGCTGACAACGTTTTCTACCCCCTACGGAAGATTCCGGTGGTTGCGCCTCCCTTTGGTTTAAACGTGTCCAGCGAGATTTTCCAGAAACGACTCAACCAAGAGCTCCTGGGACTGGAAGGAGTGAGGTGTATCGCAGATGACATCCTTGTCTATGGTACCGACGAAAAAGACCACAACAAGAACTTCGAGAGGCTACTGGAACGGTGTAAAGAAAAGAGCATTAAGTTGACCAAGGACAAATTGGAGTTCAAGTGTAAAGAGGTTTCATTCCATGGTCATCTTCTCACCAATGAAGGTTTGAAAGTCGACCCAGGTAAAGTGAAGGCGATTATGCAGATGCCACGACCCACCACTCCTGAAGAAATCTTACATTTGAACGGAATGGTGAATTACCTAAGTCGTTTCCTACCCAACCTGTCGGAGGTTATGAAGCCTTTGCGTGATCTAACACACAAAGAGTCGCGTGGTGCTGGTTGGAAATACACGAGAAAGCATGGAATGAAGTGAAGCATTTAATCACAACGACCCCAGTCCTCACGTACTATTAGCCATCAGAAAGTCTTGAGATCCAATGTGATAGCAGTCAGACTGGTTTGGGAGTGGCCCTAATGCAGAATGGTCATCCGATTGCATATGTCAGCCGAACACTATCTGAGACAGAAACAAGATATGCTCAGATAGAGAAGGAAATGTTGGCCATCGTTTATGCGGTTGAGAAATTTAACAACTACACGTTTGGCAGAAAAGTTACCGTCTACAGTGATCATAAACCTCTAGAAAGTATTTTGAAGAAACCTCTTCACCGAGCGCCCAAGAGACTGCGGGGTATGATGATCCGTCTCCAGAAGTATGACATCGAAGTGAAATATGAGAAAGGAAACAACATGTTCTTTGCCAATACGTTGGCCACAGCGAGCATTCCCGATGATGGGAAAAGTGGTCCAGAGTTTGAGACTATCAACATGATGAAGTACCTGCCAATTTCCGACGAACGATTAAAGGAAATACAACGAGAAACAAAAAGCGATGAGTCCCTCCAAGTCTTGACGACAGTGATTCGGCAAGGGTGGCCAGAGCAAAAAGAAGATCTGCCAAATGTTGTGACACCCTACTTCAACATCCGAGACGAGATGTCGATCCAAGATGGTCTGGTGTTTAGAGGAGAAAGAGTGGTTATCCCGCAAGCAATGAGAAGCAAGATGCTGGGAAAAGTCCACAACTCCCACCTGGGAGTAAATGGGTGCCTCAATCGAGCTCGAGAGTGCCTTTACTGGCCCGGCATGTCCAACAATATCAAGAATCATGTGTCAACCTGCGAAGCCTGTCTTGAGTATGAGAGAAGTCAGCCAAAGAAAACTTTATGTAGTCATGAAGTGCCAAGTCGACCCTGGCAACGTGTAGGAATAGACTTATTTGAACTAGAGAGAAAACACTATCTAGTTACCGCTGACTATTTTAGTGATTTCTTTGAGCTGGATCACTTGAAGAATATTTCCTCAGTACACGTCATTAGGAAAATCAAGAGTCATTTCGCGAGACACGGCATACCCGAGCAGGTGATAACGGACAATGGCCCGCAGTTCGTGGCACACGATTTCCAGATATTTACTAAGGAATGGGACTTCGAGCACATCACCTGTAGTCCATACCACAGTCAAGCAAATGGTAAAGCCGAAAGTGCTGTAAAAGAAGCTAAGAAAATCCTAAGAAAGTCGAAGAAAGCAAAGTCAGACGCGTTTTTGGTGGTTCTTGACCATCGAAATACTCCCTCCGCGAGCATGAAGAGCAGTCCAGCCCAGCGTCTGCTGAATAGGCGGGCGAGAACCTTGTTGCCAACAACAGCGAAGCTGCTGCAACCACAATCCATTGACAGCAGTACCACGGTAGAGAAACTAGCGGAACGGAAAAGACAACAAGCCAAGTATTACAACAGGGGAGCTGTCGAATTGAACCCTTTGGATGAAGAAGATGTGGTTAGGATAAAACCGTTTCGTTTGGGAAGAAAAGAGTGGGAGAAAAGTGTGGTGCAAAAACGTCTAGATCAGAGATCGTATGAGATAGAGACGCCACATGCTATACTGAGAAGGAATAGAGTGCAACTAAGAAAAACCAATGAAGCATCTCCAGACATCGAGCAGAGATCAGCCATGGATAACTCAATACCGCTAGACATGGGCGGCTCTGGAGAACAAATGAGCCCTTCTAAAGAAATGGGCACTACTGAAGCAAGAACAGAAATGACATATTTACCTGCTGCAGAAGATAACGGTGCTGTACGAAGATCTGGAAGAGCACGGAAACCTCCGAGCTACCTAAAGGACTTTGTACTGAAATAGGGTCAGGATTACACTGAAGTGTAATGCCACGAACACGAATTACTCATATCGTACATTTATTTAATTTTAACTATTAATCGTAGTTCATATAGTCCTAAATTTAGTTATCGTATTTCAGTATGGACACGGACATTTATTATTTATATATTTTAATTTATTGTTTTATTAGTAAGTACTCAAGTTTTATTAGTAAGTACCCAAGTACTCAGCTTCAAAAAGGGAAAGATGTTATAATAGTCATTAGGACGTTATTATAATGTTAATTAGTTAGGTACCTATATAATGGCATGTATAATTTGTTGACGAGTCAGTTGTAATACATGTGTTGATCAAGCTAAGTTTATGCTGTTATAACGAAGGAACAAAGTTAGGGCCTTGGTTGTTTTGTGTTGATGATTGACAAGATAGACACCACCAATACAGACTTGTGGAAATATGTGGACGATACCACAGCCACTGAGATGGTAGAAAAAGGAGAGACAAGTAAGATCCAGAATATAGTAAATGAACTAACAGAAAAAACGTATAGGAACAAATTGCAGTTTAATGAGAAAAAATGCAAAGAGCTTCAGATTTCTTTCACAAAAAATCACCCTGAATACGCACCTATAGTTATTAATGATAAACCAATAAAAATTGTGACTACCATCAAATTACTGGGTCTGCAGTATTGGTGTTGGATCGATGAGAATCGAACCCGCAGGCATCAGAGGTGAAAGGCGAGCTTCTAACCACTGCGCCACCCAAGCCCAATAAATGATGACGTTTCAATATGAACATTTCTCCTGTTTTTTTTTTCATGCGCTGATGTTTCAAGATGAACATTTCTCCAGTGATGCTGAGGTACGCTGTTGTGATCTATGGTCCGAACTACCCATCGAAGATCTGTGAAGCAGGTCCATGGTAAATTAATTTTATCCGTTTTTGCGGGCATTTTAATTTACTGTTGATTCCCTTTGCAAAAATACAGTAACAATCTATGAACTATAGCGCCTGAAAGGTAAGTATTTATAAATATGTTCACCCATTTGTTACGGAGATATGAAAGAACATTTCTTGGTTGGTGTTAGTGTTAGGGTTATAAAAAGATAAACAAAGATAAGAGACAAAAGAAAATAACATTTTATATCCAAAGAGAATAATTCATTCATATATATTTATAATATAAAAAAGGCGCATATTTTATTTTATTTTATTCTATTAAAATGTTATTTTACATGACGTATCATGAAAATTATCGCTGTGGTGGTCAAATTATTGCGGTCTCACTTCTTTTTTGCCGCCATTTTATAAAATTGTAAACATGTACTGAGCGATGAAGAAAGCAAACCGTTATTGATGCACACAAGAAAAATGAGCGAAAACAATATTTGAAAACGCAATCAGGGCACTTTCAAGGACAATATTATTACCAAAAGAATTTGCCCCTCGAAAAAGTAAGTAAAATTCCCACTACCTCCCTGACTAACATTTCTGAATCAATTGAAGCAAATCGAAAATATGCCACCCCTGCAATTTAGATTAAGTGAAAATATTCTGGTGCTTCTCTTTGCAGTATTGGTGTTGGATTGTTGAAATGATTCACCTGAACCAAACCTTGTAGGTTGTAGTTTCTCTGGGTACTACAGTTTCCTCACACAGCAAGAAAAATCTGTTTGAAGAATGTGTCCACTTTCATGACGATTTGACTGGCACTGCATGTATTTATTGTTGAGCTACAGACAAGACATTCAAAGCAATACATTTTGCCAGAACTAATTATTTGCACATTCAGCTTTTTATTTTCTTGTCTCAATCAATCTGCAGGCAAAAATCATTGCATACACTGTGGCAATCAATACACCAGACGGAAATCTTAGTTTAAAGATAAAGAGCAAAGCCCAGCAAATAACTTTAAAACCAAACATAATAAAAGTAAAAATTTAATTAGCTAACATTTCGTTGTTTACAATACAACATCTTCAGAGCAATTTAAATGAATTTACTGGGTATGGTATATATATTTACAAAATAATGGTTTAATATTACAAAAACGGTTACATAATTTGAAAGAACAAATTAATAGAAAGAAAGGAAAACAACTTATCAGTAACTAGTTAATAAGTAAAGATTAATGTTAAGTGCATGGTTAGTATAGTTAAGTTAATATTACATAACTAAAATAACTCAAGATGGGTAGATCTAATATTAGCATTAAGGACAGGGTTAAGTTGAAAAATTAATAGGCTTTCACGGATAAGAAGATCCCACTCAGAAGTGCCTGATGATAGAATTTTTAAATCAGAAGCGGAGACTGAGTGTTTGTGCATGTGTTTGTGAGCGAGTATACTGGACATGGTTGAGATAGAGCGTTCTTTTCCAGTCAAAGATCTGAGATCACATGTTGTGTTTCAGTTCACATGTCAATGCTGTAGCGCATTGTATGTTGGCCGAACACGCCGACACATTCACACACGTATCTCAGAGCATATGGGAGTCTCGCCTTTGACTGGAAAAGAACGCTCTATCTCAACCATGTCTAGTATACTTGCTCACAAACACATGCACAAACACTGAGTCTCCGTTTCTGATTTCAAAATTCTATCATCAGGCACTTCTGAGTGGGATCTTCTTATCTGTGAAAGCCTATTAATTTCTCAACTTAACCCTATCCTTAATGCTAATATTAGATCTACCCCTCTTGAGTTGTTTTAGTTATGCAATATTAACCTTAACTATACTAACCATGCACTTAACATTAATCTTTACTTATTAACTAGTTACTGATAAGTTGTTTTCCTTTCTTTCTATTCATTTGTTCTTTCAAATTATGTAACTGTTTTTGTAATATTAAACCATTATTTTGTAAATATATATACCATACCCTGTAAATTCATTTAGATTGCTCTGAAGATGTTGTATTGTAAACAACGAAACGTTACCTAATTAAATTTTTACTTTTATTATTGTTGGTTTTAAAGTTATTTGCTGGGCATTGCATACACATACAACACAATGATGTGGACATCAACTGATGTCTTGTTTTTTAAATGAAATACAATGATTTACATAGGTTATGTTAGGTTAAAATACTATATACAAATTAGCATATTATATGTAACCCAGAATAATGTGAGAGGTGCAAATTAAATAATAACAACATAGTGTTGATATATGCTGATTTGTAGATGTATATGTTGTAGTTTCCTGTATAATTTTATTAATATATTCCATAATGTGATTTACAATTTTTTGTTTATTTTATAATAGTTTTGTTTTTGATTAAATCCATCTGATTGAATATTTGTCACATGATCATAAAAGCTCATGTAATTTTCCAGACCCCCGCAACAAACTTCCTGACAAAGGGCCTTCACTCAAAACATTGAAGTCTACCCTTGTATTTGCAGGTAGTAGTTGCATCCCTACCAAAGCATGCTTCAAATAAAGATAGTTCTAGGTTTCTACTATGCACTGTGTGTGGCATAATACATACACTTAGCACTTTACTGGGAATCTTTAAACTCCAGTGTTTTGTGACTTCTGTAGATTAATTTTATCACTCGAGATAAATCTTGATCACTAGGGTCAACAAACTATCCACATTAAACAGTTACTATTAGACTGGCTACAATTTGCTGCTGTTATCACATGAACATTTCTTGGTTGTTTGCTTATAAAACCACTTTGTCCTGGTATCCAGTCAAAACGTCCCCAGGTTAAAACTAGGCTGGATCAATATACCTGATATATCCGATATACCGGTATTTGTTTGGATACCGGTTTGGCGATATTGACAATTTAAAAATACCGATATACTGACATTTCGGTATTTTGCTGCCTAATACCGAAATGAAACGCTATTTCAAGTCAAACTTGCTTACAATCACCAACCTCGTCCCCAGGGCCTTTGAGCTGGAGAAGGCCCTGGCATCGGCTGAAATTTACACCCCAAATTTTGGGGTGTAATAAATTAAGACCCATATAATATATTCAAATTATATGCAATATTTAATTCTGATGGCCAAGGAGCGGTGAACACGAATAACAGTATTTCACACACGGAATGTTGTCAAAATGTGGAAATTTTCTGATACGTTTAAGCGGTTACATGTAGCATTTGCTATGAATAATTTTCCCAGTTTTTGTTTGAAACCAAAGCAAGTTCAATGCTTTGAATATTTGCTTCAAGGCTTCGATGTGTTGTCGATTCTTCCAACTGGCTTTGGAAAGTCGCTGTTGTTTCAGCTTTTGCCAGACCTTTTGCCAGTTAAAAAGTCGTCCCAGAATATCGTTCTTGTTGTCTGTCCGTTATCAAGTATAATCGAAGATCAAATCAGTGCTCTGAGTTTGATTGGAATTCCAGCAGAAATTTTACCAAATACATGCGAAGATTCTTCACATTTATACAATTCGGAGTCGTTGTTTGATCGCAAGGAGGATACAAACGAACAAACTTCGGAAGAATGTAATGTAAACGTTTCGAAAGCAGTGATCGATGGAAAGGCGAAATTGTTATTTGCTCATCCCGAAGCTCTTCTAAGCACGTTCGGAAGAAAGCTTTTGATTAGTAAAGTGTATCAGGATAATGTGGCGGCTTGCGTTATTGATGAAGCACATTGTGTTGAAATATGGTAAGTTTGTTAATATTAACACTATTCAATATATGAAATTTAAAGATTACACATCTTGAAACACATCTCAATGTAATCTCGCGTTGGGCACTATCTTGCGTTGGGTTCATAAATAAAACTTTTTAAGATTTTGTATTGACAAGTTACAACAACCACAGGGGTCCAAGTCCAACTATTAAAGAGCTTTTGTTATGAATATGAATAAAACTTCTGGAATTGACTCATGCATAAGTGCAATAATTTAAATGTATTATGTTATGTTTTATTCATATTCATAACACAGCTCTTAGTTGGACTCCTTGTGCAACAACAACATTTTATTTTTACCAATTATATCCAAGGCTATTTTTAATTATATTTAGTCTTGCCAATTAGCACAGTGTCACAGCAACTGACAGCTTATGTCAATTACTGTGGGCCCTTTTACCTACCACGCCCTGTCAACTTTCCCTGTGTGAGGAAACCCACAACATTCGGCAGAGTGCTAACATTTACTCTTTTCATGAGGACTGGGTTTGAGTCACATTGAGAAAGCTCCCACTTAGATTTGAATCACCTTATGGCCAGTTTATGAGTTCATTGGCGAAGTACAATCGGCTGCTCATGTTTTATCTAGTACTTAAAGTATTTTAATGATATACTGTATAGATGCCATTTCAAGACTAAAAACACACTCAGGCACCTATTATATAATAATGAAAGACATATAAGGCCATATAAATCATAAAATCTTAAGAATTCTATGTCAAAAATGTCTGACATTAATTAAACCCATTGAGTTGCATTGCACCCTGATGCACCCTACTTTAGTATTTTACTCTGTCTGTCTAATGCCAGACGATTTTACTCGTCAAGCCCCTGGGAGAGCGCTGGCACTTAATGGGTTAACTGGCCTATCTGCCCATGTGTCTAGTTAACCCATTGAGTCGCATTGCACCCTGATACACCCTACTTTAGTATTTTACTCTGTCTAACCCCAGACGATTTTACTTGTCAAGGGGAGAGTGCTGGTGCTTAATGGGTTAATAATATGTTTCATTGTTTCTGCTGTGTTAATATAAACTAAAACCATAGCTTAATAATTCTTGGTCCATTATAATTGATCGTAAATATTTTTTTACAAAGGGGGAAAGAATTCAGAACAGACTTTAAAGAGTTATCATGCTTGAAAGCTTTCTTTCCTCAAGTGCCCATGTTAGCTCTTACTGCAACAGCACCACCATCACTCATAAATAGTTTAACAGAAAGCTTATGCATGGACTCAGACGTGAAGATAATCAATAAAAATCCAAACAGAGAAAATGTTTTTCTGGACAAAAAGATTCGTCTTCCCAATCAGTATGGAACAGCAAGCTATGAAGAAATACTGAAGCCAATTGCAGAAGAGCTGTTACGACAACAAGAAAAGTATCCAATGACAATTGTGTACATGAAACTTAAATACTGTGGTTTTGCCTATCAATTGTTTAACAGAATTCTTGAAGATTGTCAGTTTGTTGGAAATGATAAGGAACCTTGCAGTCGGTTGTTTGTACAGTTTCATGCTCCACAAACATCTCGTATGAAAGTGGAGATATTAAATGAGATAAAGAAAGAATCATCTAGAATTAGAGTTTTATTTGCAACTACTGCACTTGGAATGGGTGTGAATGTCCCTTATGTATCAAGAATTATCCACATAGGGCCCCCCTCTTCACTCGAGGCATACATGCAAGAAATTGGCAGAGCAGGTCGTAGTGGAGGCAAGTCGATTGCAACCATGTATTATAACAATTCAGACATTGCTAAAAACAAGGATATTATTGACGACTCTATCAGACAGTATTGTACAAGTGTAACTGTTTGTCTCCGGAAAATATTGCTCAATTATTTTGGATTTAAAAGAGTTGAACAAGAAGAGTGCTGTCTTATTTGTGATAAGTGTTTAGATGATGGTGTCGTCACCCATATTACCACAGGAAAGGTGAGAGACATCCCAAACGAATGTATTGAACAATTTTATACGGAAGCTAAGAGAATTATTGACACACATATTTATAATGCTGAACATTCTAGTTACCTTATGAATTATGGCAATGCTGATAGTAGTGATCAAGTGAAAAAGATCATGGAGGGGGTATGCTTTATTGAAAGCGAAAAAGACTTACTTCACAATTATGATATCTGGGATGAAAACTGTTCAAAAGCTTTATTTGAACTAATTACAAAACTTGCACCAAATATTTAAAGGTAAATGGAATATTAATTTAACGGAACTTTACTTTGAGCTATTTGATACACATCTGTTAGCTAATAAACTAGACCCCTTAATTAACTATATATTTCATGAACATCAAGTCAATAGAATTAGAATAAGACAAAACTTAAAAATTCTATCAAATTAATAAATTTAAAAGTCCTATTTACATATTCACAACAATATATTTACATAGAATTACTAAGGGTTGGCCAGACCAGACTACAGGTGTGTATATAGTTACCATTCAGGGGGGGGGGATATCTCAATGCCATGGAGGAAAAATGACCCTAAAGAGGAAGAGGACTGAAAGACGGAAAGAGCAAGGAAGGAGGGAAAGAAAGAGGGCAAAAAGGTGTATTCCATGAAAAATTTTGATGGTAGATTTGCAAAACTTTTGTAGATGGTAGATGGGGGGGGGGGTCATCAAGTTTCCAGAAAACATTAACCATCCTGGTAATTATATACACCCCTGCAAGGCCACTGTACATAAATTTGTAAATATATGTACATACAAGGTATATGTGTCAACCAAAATGCTTTCATTTTCAAATCCAATCACATCTGTTTCAATGGTGGAACAAAGGTTTCTGTTTTATATATAATATATAAACACTGACAGAAAAGAATTAAAGCAATTCTTGTATTTCCAGTTTAGTTTTGAACTGATTGACAAGTCTCTCTTTCTAACTCTGCCCCTCCAAACTACATCATGTAATGTACACTATAGTTGATCAATATGACAATGAAAGAGAGACTTGCATCAAGTCTAATTTGCATATGATGTCACACATGACCAGCTTTGAAACTGGCAGCCATCTTGCAAATTGGTAACTATTTAACTCTTTTAAAATCATTAAATGTCTATTGAAATGTTCAAAGATTTGAGAACAACAACATTATATCAAAAAATTCTAGCAATTAGTAATTAATAATTATTAATAATTATTAATTGTTAATTAATTCTATTTTTTGTTCAAAAATGGTGGAAGTCGCAAGTTGTCTAATTACCATTTTGAGAACAATCTGCTTGGATTGACTTTTAGCGATTGTTCTTCCAAACATACTAAAATTCAACTTGCACTTTATTTGCTTGTTGTATAAAGTGGTTCCACTTTACCTAACAAATTTTTTTAATGGGTCTTGCGTTTGTTGCAATATCTTCAATCTCTGAAGTGAAACAATAACGAGGTTGACACACATTCTTAAACTGTTACCTGTGAGGGTGTTTTACTGTGAGAGTTGACTCTTGTGCAGATCTAACCACTGATGAAAATCCACAATATTTAACTTCAGTAGTGGGGATCTTTGGATTTGTGGAAATGACTCATGTGATCGTCCATCAATGTGTGTGAAAGGATCCAATTTTATAAGGTCTGCAATCATTTCTTTCTCTTCTTTTAGGCAATCTCTGCCAGTATGCTGGACTGAAGACTTGTGTATGTTCAATCCTTGGTCATAAGACTGAAGAACTTCAGTCATTCCACTTACAGACTTGGTCAACCTGCTGATGGACTCAATGGTTTTGTTTGGTCCCATTCGTTGTACCATGTTCTTACTTAGTTTGTTGGTTATTTCCTGTACCAAATCATCTTCTAAATTATGGCCATAACCACCTCTCCAATTTGTAAAGAATCCCCACTTGAATTCTGCTGATAGGCGCGGTGTAAGTAAACATTCCATTTGTGCAATGCTCACAAACATCTCAATTGCATACTTACTGTATGTCCCCAAAGATTTGAAAATGAGTAAGAGCAACTTTTGGTTAACGAGGTTGCGATCTCCATCCGCTTCAGCTGCGGTATCTTTAAGCTGCAAAAGGACAACTGCGAAGAAGATACATGACATTCCATAGTTCATAACATAGTCCTCTTTGTCATGATTTGCCGCATTGAATTGTTTTTGTAAGAAGAATGTGTCAATAAATCCTCCAAGTGCTTCATCAAAGTACTTCTGCATTGCTTCGATGGTGTCACAAATTAAATTGTCAGGAAAGACATGAACTGTTGGTTTGTCATTTAGTTCTGACATACCAAAATATTTCAAAGCAGCTACAACTATGTAAGCCCGTCCCATACTGAGGAATAATTCTTCGCTCCCTTCATAGCAATCCAGTACCTTTTTTGGCGTTGCATTTTGCCTGTTGTATTTCTCTCTGAAGTACTTTAGTGTACCAACTTGACTTACAGAATGAGGATTGTGCAGATATGTGTAACAGTATTGGAGGAAAGAAGCTTTGGTATGCCACATAACCGGCTTGAATGGTGAACAATGTTCAAACCTGTCACTTGGTGTATGTGAGCCAGCTAATAGGTCTTTAGCTCCCGCAAATCGTACACGAGTAAGCTGATCGCCACCAAAGACTACTTTCATATCTTTCATCGGATCATCACTTGAATGACATGTGTGGGACCTAGCCTGACCTTGTGCAGCTGGACCTACAGTAATAAATATAAATTCATAGGATTCATTTGATGTGACCAAAAATCAACATGACACATTGCTAGTTTGTCTTGCTGATTTCGGGTTATGCTGCCACATTCGCATGACCTTTACTGATAACAGTTACTATTGTGATTGTATGAAGGCAATTTAGCCAAAAGTTTAGGGTGGATTTTAGCTCAGACATACTGAATATCAGGCCAGTCATATTATTCAGCTTAAATCAAAAGCAACAATAAACGGCTGTTTTATCGGCTATATAAAAAGCCTTACTGTAATCAGTAATTAAAATGAAGATTAGTTTGTTCTTTTGCCGAAAGTGACTGGGCAAAGTAAGAATTTGACCACACAACTCCACATTCTGGCCGGACATTGTCCATTGGCTGACTGTTATTTTGGTCCCTGGCTGAAATGGTGAATAACCTCAAATTATTGGTGGCTTTCATTATAGGTGTTATATATAGCAAATTGAGTGGGGGTCAACCTGAAATGTATCAATTAACGATCATGTTGTACTGGAGTGAGCAAATGACACAGAATTGCACATATTTGCTGCCAAACAAAAAAAGGCCAAGACATTATACAGTGAACAAATAATTCACTCATATCATGACTGTGTCTCAAGTTGACCCCCATTCAAATATATGAAACCCAAGAGTACAAAATAATTAAAATCATAGCCAGAACTTGTTGCAAAACCTTTTCAACTTGAGTAAAATGATTTTAGTAAAAAAATAGGAACTAAATACGTAGTAACGAATGTGAAATTTACTGAACTTTACTTCACAAAATGTAGCTAAGTGTGTATGCATCGGCTATTTGTTTTGGCTTAGGCTCAGTTGTGTTATGGGCTTAGGCTCAGTATGGTAGTGTTAAATGTGATCATGCATGCATGTTGCACTATTTACTCTAGGCATGTAAAATTTGTTTCACTTCTATGTGTGTATATAAAACACACACAGAAGTGAAACAAATTCTATGTGGTTTTCATGTATATATATTGAGAAGTTCAAAAAGGAAGGAATTTTTCATCGGCATTTTTTACATTTATATAGTATTCCCACATAGATAATTAATTGGTTTTGTTACCCATGCTATTACTGTTTCAGTTTTGAACGTATAAAGGAACACTTTAGTTATGCATTGTATGTTTGGTTTAACCAAAAAACACTGCAACTGAAACAAATAAGAAAAAATATTTTTTTAACCTACCATCAGGTAAAGGTGGGTTATCGCATTCAGGAAGTTTCTCCAGCAAACCCGCTTCGTGATATATTTCAGCGATCCACTTCTCGTAAGTACGTAAGATCTTCACACAATCTCCGTAATTCGCCTCGTTCGCATCGATTATTGGCATAGGGACGACGAAAGATTTCTTTGACATTTCTTCGCTATATTGATGCTGAATATGAGCCGGTATGACTTTCTTTAGAAAGCTGAATGTAGGGAAAAATTCGACGAGAACCCGTGCAACAAGGATCTTTGCAGTTTCAGCAAATTTCTTCCATTCATGAACATTTAAATGAAACTTAGATCTTGGACAAGATTTAATGTCACCGAGCGGACTATCATTCGGAAGGTGTTGAAAGTTAACACGATTCTCAATCAGATTTGATGCGAAAAGATGTAGGTCTTCATTGTGAACCTCTTTTCTCATCTGACCCTTTGATAATATAATAAAAATGTTTTAATATTAAATATTTTAAAATCAATGGCCATCTGCGTTATATTTATAGACTAAATTTTGATCTAGACAAAAGTTTCATCACATCTGGAAAGAGCATCACAAAATTAGTAATATCCCAAAGTTTCGTTGCGAAATGTTGTAAAATGCGGATAATATAGCCTTGCTAAATTTGCAATTTTCAGTCCTTTTAGATTACAAACGGGAAATTGATGCCCCAACACCCGATTGGGCTGTCAATTTCCCGTGCGTAATACCAAATGACTGAAAAACGGCAAACTTCGCAAGGCTATATTATATGAAATATAGGCTTTGGAATATTACTAATTTTGTGATGCTCTTTCAAGCTGTGATAAAATTTTCGTCTAGACCAAAATTTAGTCTATAATGCAAATGGTCCATTGTTATTAAATATTGATGTCACGCTTAATAGCGAAACTTGTAGTAACCATTCCAGGTTAACGTTTGCAATATAAACGAACGTTAATTTTACTGTCGCGAGGCTTATACATATTAAAATGGTTTTAAAAACATTAAATTTAAAAACTAATATGTATTTAATCTTGTAGACACGTTATAGCGTTGTTCGTTCAGGTAGTTATTAAGAAATACCTATGGCTATGCACTTGCGTATTACCTTCAAAATTCTTATGTCCCAGTTATCTCCCGTACCACGAAAAGTCTTCCCACTCTTAAGCTTCTCCACTGTCTTGTCAAGGAAATGACCACCCAGTAACGTGAGTAAAGTAGTGCGTCTGCTATGGGACAGGCAAACACCAAGCTTATTCAGGCGATGTTGTAACTAGAAGAGAAACCTTTTATTACAAATTATAATTGACAACAATGTTGCAAATTATGGCAATGCACTACTTTAATAAGCCTAGTTTCTATTTGGTCTTTATGTTGATACTCTATTTATACATCAGCCATATTACTGTAAATTATACAGATGAAGGAAAAAGTAAGAATAAAGAGCGCATAATGGCTGAATTTTACAGTTTCTTAATACCTAAATTTGTCCTGTTTTATAAGAAGGGAAACTGATTAGCATCTCAAATGATTTTGTTTATGCAGACTCGTGCAGCTAATTATGACAACCTAATTGAGACCTATGGCTCTGTTCATACTCTGTTAAAAAGTTTTTACCTGTTAAAAACAAACACGACCAAAACAAACAAATAAGACAATAGATGCACCTGACATTGCAAGCTGACTCGGCTGCGTGAATTTTGGAATGATTTTCAAATTTCATGCACACATAAATAAAACACACTTTTACTTTGCTTTTCGCCTTTATATTAGTTGACTGTTTAGGAAATTAAATTAAAATAAACCGTATAGACATCACTGTGCTATTACAACCTGAATATATTAAGCTGTACACTTGTCACTTGTGTTGATTTCAATGGTCTTTGCATATAGCATATAGTCACGTGCACGTAGTTGTATATATGACAGAACTATATACAATCAATTTTCTGTAGTATACGTTTGGTAAAGTTAAGGCCAAGTAGATATCCATGAACATTGTATCATTTTGAAAAGTGAAACGTAAACACATATTAATAAAAAATTTAC